GCAGTTAGGAGCCAGTGGTCCTGGATTGCAAGAGGAATGTTTGACTGCCAGTTGTGGGATTGAACCTAAACCGGCAGTTGGACATCCCCCAAGGGGTCCCGGATTGGAGAAGGTGCAGGCCGGGCTGAGGGACCCCTCCGTGCATGAATTTTGTGCACCGGACTTCTAGTCTATATATATATAAAAGCTATGATGTGTACTGACCACCAGAGGGCAGACACTCAACACAGCAACTGCCTCCTGCCAACCTCCCATGGTCCCTCCCCCTGGGAAGCTGGCCCGATTGGCCCTGATCAGGACTGGGCGAGATGGCCCCGATTGGCCCAGATCGCTGGCCAGGCTAGGGACCCCACCCATGACGAATTCATGCATTGGGCCTCTAGTATGCATATAAGTTCTTTGTTTAATCTTTTTCTACCCCCTTCCCTCTTTCCCTCTGAGATTCATCAATCTGATACATGTTTCCATGCCTCTGGTTTGATTTTATTAATTCGTTTACTTTGTTCATTAGATTCCTGGTTTGTTTGAGTTTTAGATTCAAGTGTTGATAGATATGTATTTATTGCCATTTTATTATTCATATTTTTGATTCTTCTTCAAGAATACTCTTCAACATTTCATGTAATACTGGTTTGGTGGTGATGAACTCCTTTAACTTTTTCTTGTCTGTGAAGCTCTTTATTTGACCTTCAATTCTAAATGATAGCTTTACTGGGTAGAGGAATCATTGTAGATCCTTGCTGAAAGGTTCCAGGTGGGCCAGAGTTACACAGAACTGACTCAAGGCTCAGTGTAATCAAAATTATATATATATTTGATTTTTTACAGAGAAGAAGGGAGCGGGATAGAGAGTTAGAAACATTGATGAGAGAGAAACATCAATCAGCTGCCTCCTGCACACTCCCTACTGGGGATGTGCCCGCAACCAAGGTACATGCCCTTGACCGGAATCAAACCTGGGACCCTTGAGTCCGCAGGTCGACGCTCTATCCACTGAGCCAAACCGGTTAGGGCCCAAAATGATATTTATTGAAGGCACCTGGGTGCAGATGAACTGAATCTGAGAAAGGAGTCAGTGGTGAATGGGGAGGGAGCAGGGTTTTTATGTGCCTAGGGAAAGTTGCAGGCTTCGGCTAACATTCATATCTGGACCGTGCTTCGGGCAGCTTCTGTTGATGCAGTATCTGGGCTGGGCTGCAGGCGGCTCCTGTTGAGCATGTATCTGGGCTGTGCAAGAGTTGTGGTCTTAGAAGTTCCTGTAAGATATTCACTCAAGGGGAACATTTACAAGGCTCAGGTTTACAGAATGAGTTTCCCTTTGACATTTGTTAGATTTTTGTAAGGCTCAAAGCCTTGTGGTCTCCAGTTAACCCTTTCATTCCCGTCTTTATAGTTATATAATGAAGAGGGATATAGAGAGGGATAAAGGGCGCTTTTCTCTTGGTCTACTTCCTGTGGGATTTTGGACGTCGTGGACTCTTGATTAAAGAAAAAGATTAGGCATTGAGGGAATTTTTGTTAAGTCATATTTTAAGTATCAGCCATAGTGACAGTGGCCGTATGTTTAGGAGTTGGGGCAGGGCTGTCTCTAGTTAGTTGGCGATTGAGGGAGAGGATGATATCTGATAGAGGTCTGGAGCAGCTTCATTTCCCCTATGGATTTATTGGTAATTGCCTGAATGTGGTTCTGGAGGAAGAAGGAAAAGGCTCTTAGGATGTACGGGCCAGAGATAAGTGCCAGGAAGAGCATCGAGAGGGGTCTAACTAGGGGTAAAAGCCAGGTTAATTTGGGCAGAGCTGCTTGTAGGCTGGACCATATGGATTGCTCTATGCTGTCCTGACTGATCTCCTTCAGCCATTGAGTATTCTGTAGAATGTGTTGTGGGTTTTTTTTTTTATCTGACCTGTAGAGTTTAGATAAAAAAAAAAAAAAAACAGGAGGGGTTAGCAATTAAACAAATTCCTCCCTCTTTGGCTAAAAGATAGTCTAGGGCAGTGGTCGGCAAACTCATTAGTCAACAGAGCCAAATATCAACAGTACAACGATTGAAATTTCTTTTGAGAGCCAAATTTTTTAAACTTAAACTATATAGGTAGGTACATTGTTATTAACTTAATTAGGGTACTTCTAAGGCTTGGGAAGAGGCACATTCAAGGGGCCAAAGAGCCGCATGTGGCTCGCGAGCCGCAGTTTGCCGACCATGGGTCTAGGGCTAGTTGGGGGACCATTTCAGGGATATAAGAGATTTGCAAAATTCAGAAGCACTATGAAGATAAACAAATAGATGTGATCTGGAGAGAAATCCTGTAAATTACCCTGGAGCCAAAGGTCTGTAATAAGTTTGAAAATATCTTGCACTGTTCAGATGGGACAGTCTGCACCAGGTGGGGGAATGTTGTCACTGGACAATCTGCAGGAATGTGGAAGCCTGGGTATATAATTTATTAGTCAGTTGGCTGATATGCAAGAGGGGCTATCTTTTTTTCCAGGAAGGCTAATGGGATGGAATAACCTAATAAGCTAATGGGGTGAGGTTTTTGTTTTCCAAGTTTTTCCCTTTGTTGGGCATCCACAGCTTTCTTGTAGGTCCTGAGGCAGGATTTTAAAATAGGAGAGCAGTGGTTAAGCTCCCTATGGAAGTTCCAACTCCTGCTGTGATGCCAAGGGTTATGAGGAGAGGGATTATCTGGACTGCTCTTTTGTGTCAGATATGATGGGTTACAGGGACAGGTAAAGACTGATTATTGGGGGCTACGCCTACATTGGGTGAGAGATAGACGAGAGAACAGGCTCCTATAACAGTTGATGAGGAGGCAGATGCATGTGTTTTCTTCACAGAGGAAGAAAATTCCCTGATCATTGAGACAAGCTGAAAGGTATAGAGAGAAGAGGTGGACTAAAGGATATGTCCTGGACTTAGAAAGAAGGAAATCTTGTCCCATGGGTAATTGAAGTCCCCTTGTAGAAGGAAGTCCCATAGAAAGGTGAGAATCCTGATGCAAAGGCAGTAGTAGGACTTGTAGGATTTGTACTGGGAGAGGAGATGGGCTTTCCAGGAAGTCAGGGTTGGTAGGGTCAGTACATAGGGGGCATGTGCAGGGGTGCTCACTCATTTGTCCTCTTCCTCTGGGATATGGGTAAGGCGGAGTCTGGTGGGCCCAATCTGGTGGCTGTAATACTTAGGGGACTCCAGCTCATGTGATGGAGGTGTTCTGGGGATGGGTTTTAATCTGGAAAGGTGGAACCATGGGGTATGCCCTGATAGTTTAGTTGCAATTGGGGCAGTTAAGAGTACTTGAGGGCTTTGCCATCAGGGCTGTAAATTATTGATGTATTTCCTTTAGGAGGAGTAGGGGGGATGTCTCCTGTAAAAGTTGAGGGAAGACCTGATCAGCATATTCTTCAGTAATTGTATAATGAGATTTAAAATGTGGACATAGTCTCTGAGAGGGGTCTCTGTGGAAGGGAAGTTTCCTAATAAGAAGGGTCTTCCATACATGAGTTCAAAGGGACTAAGAAAGGAGGATGTGCATAAGGGCTAGAGCAGCGGTTCTCAACCTGTGGGTCGCGACCCCTTTGGGGGTCGAACGACCCTTTCACAGGGGTCGCCTAAGACCATTGGAAAACACATATATAATTGCATATTGTTTTTGTGATTAATCACTATGCTTTAATTATGTTCAATTTGTAACAATGAAATTGGGGGTCACCACAACATGAGGAACTGTATTACAGGGTCGCAGCATTAGGAAGGTTGAGAACTACTGGGCTAGAGGTAGGTGAGTAGTTTAAGGTTCTCTTGTTTTGTGAGTTAATTTAGTTAGGTGAGACTTAATTAAGGAATTTGCCTTTTCTACCTTGCCTGAAGATTGGGGCTCGTAGGTGGTGTAAGTTCCACTGGATGTTCAGAGTGCAAGAGACCTGTTGAGTTATTTGAAATATGAAAGCAGGTCCATTATCTGATTGTAACGAGGTGGGGAGGCTGAATCTGGGAATGATATGCTGAATGAGAGCTTGTGTGACCTCAGAGGACTTTTCAGACCTAGTGGGGAATGCTTCTACCCAGCCTGAGAAGGTATCTACTAAGATTAAGAGATATTTGTGTGTGTGTTTTTTAAATAGGGGGCATGTGAGTGAAGTCAGTCTGTCAGTCTTGTCCAGGGATTTGGCCCCTTGACTGATGAGTGGGGAAAGAAGGAGATTTAATCTAACCTGTCCTTGGGGAGATACTGAGTAATAGGTAAAATAGGTTTTGGTGATATCTTTCAGTAGAAGGCTAAGCTAGGACATGTGATGAGGGATTTTGGGAGTTGTAAATGTATCCTATACTTAGGGAATTGTGGATAGCCCGTAAGATATCTCAGGGCCTGTCCCTGGGGAAGGATGTATTTTCCCATGGATCTTCCTGAGTGGCCCCAAGAGTTAGTAGGGACTGCAGTTCCTCTGGAGGGTATTAGGGCGTTATATGGGGTATAGCTAAGAGTTGGGGAGATGGAGGCTTCTTCTGAGCCACTGTCTTGGCCTCTTGGTCTGCTTTGTTATATCCCTGTATTATGGGCTCATTCCTGACTTGGTGTCCTTTGCAGTGACTGACTTTTAAGAGGGTTAGAAAAGGGGAGAGAGGTTCCTAAATACCAAGCAGGAAGAACTGTTGAGGCTTTCAATGATAGCGTCAAGGACTATGAATGAGCGGTGGAAATAAAGAAAGTCTAGGCTCAGGTATAAGGACTTAAGCAACAGGAGAGAGCCTGGGCGGGGCTGCTTTAGCTTCCTAGGAGAGAGGGGTCCCTTCAGACGTCAGGAGTGATCAAGTCCTGACTCACTGGACAACACAAACCTTCTACCCATTCACAAATAACCACTTTTAGCCAAAAAGTAAACAACCAGCATTTACATTTATAAACACACTTTAAACACACTCTTACTTTCAAGAATATATACATTAAACAAAGTACAAGAGACCTCTGTAATAAAAACTAAGAGCAGGTGAATTAATTGTCTAGCAATCAATGTTTCAATATTTTATGCTATTTTAAAATATTTAGATGTTTATAATTTAACCCAGCAATGCTCCAAAGCCTTTAAGTTACCAAAGACTTTGGAAAATTATGTATAGGCACATGAGGCTGGAGAAAAGGCAGGGGGAGGAGGGAGCGGACCCAGCCGCCTATTCCCAGGCCTCTAGCCACTTGGATTTAAAACTGCCACATTTTTCCTTAGAGATAACATGCTAAGGTTTGGGTGGTAATGAGTTCAGCTTCTGAGAGTAGCTGGACTGTTAAGTAAGCATTTGTAGTGAAGAAAGTTGTTCTTTGGGAAGGGGGAAGGGAGGTGAGAAGGCACTGAGGTGAGAGCAGTTTTCAAAGCATTAAAGGGGTGAGAATGATGGCCTTGAGATCTAAAGGCTCAGTGAGGGGGGCCTTTCGCCATGTCATGCCATAGAGGAGCTTTGCGAGAAGACTGAAGTTGGGAACTGAGAAGCAAGAGTATCTAGTGAGTTTGAGAAAAGAGAGTATTCTTTTTTGTTTGTTTGTTTAGAAGAGGGGACAGTGATGGAGGAGATAAGGCTTTTACTGTACAGTCTAAGAAATGGTGTGGCTTTGTGGGGTGAGAGTGAAACTGAGGTAGGTGACTGTCGTTTATGAGGGGATGTGCAGTAGTTCGGGTCGGGCACTGAGGTAGAACTAGAAAAGAGTGAATGGGGGTATTTAGTAAGATGCAGTATAGAGGTGAGGTGGCTAATGACTGAGACTAATCTTTCAACCCTCATAATAGGGACTGAGGAGGGGACAAGGGTCCCAGCGAATTTGGGGAGGGCAGAATAAGTGGCCCCAGTGTCAATTAAAAAGGAGATTGGCTTACCTGCCACCACAGTCGTTACCCGAGGCTCTCTCCTGGTGATGTAAGTCTGTGGGGCCCTGTCAGGGCCTGGGCACCTTCAGTCTTTGGTGGCAAGTCCCAGGAGGTCTGGGAGCTCCAAACTGGATCCAGAGGGCAGCCTTGCTGAGATCTGACCTGGAGGGGCCAGACTACAGTCTGATTTCCAGTGGCCTTCCCTTCTGCACCTTGGGTAGGGCCCAGGCGGGGGTCTTAGGCTTGGGCAGGACTTGGTCGAGTGTCCTCTCTTGTTGCATTTGAAGCACGGGTCCAGAGGAGGCTTAGCCTCTGACTTACCCTTGGTTGGCACTTTGTTTGGGGTTCACGAGAGTGGTGGCAGAGCTGGAAGGCCTTCGTCTGGGCCTCAGCCTTGGCCTGATCTCACCTTTGTTTTTGGATTTGGGTCTCCCCGTTTCTATTATTAAAGACCTTAAAGGTCAGATTTAAGAGGTCTCTTTGTGGCGTCTGAGGGCCGTCCTCTAGTTGTTGGAGCTTCCTCTGTGTGTCCGAGGTGGACTGAGATATAAAGTGGAGCTTGAGGATTATAGTACCTTCAGGACTCATGGGGTCTAAATTGGTGTATTTTCTCATTGCCTGGGTGAGGCATGATTGGAAAACAGCTGGATTCTCATGCTTGTCCTGGGTGATTTCTGCTAGCTTCTCATAATTAACTGCCTTATGGGCTGCCTTCTCAGGCTGCTGAAACGGAGGAGCCATAGGCTGGGGAACCGGGTGATGGTTGGTGGGATCAAAAGTGGTGAAGGAGGAGAAGGATTTGAGATCCTCATGGGGCTTAGAATGAAGGAGGAAAATCTGTGAGGGAGAGCAGCTGTTACAAAGTGAGGGTCATGTCCTGAGTGCAAAGAAAGCCTGGATATATGGGAACTCAGACCATTTGCCCTGCCGGCAGCAAAAGTTGTCAAGATCAGTGAGAATTTGAACCATTCTAGGGCCATTGGGACCCATTGTCTAATTTGTATTGCAGCCAAGAGGTATCGCAATAGAAACACCCCAGGGGTGTGGTGTGGGGAATGGCTGATTGAGAATTCCCCGTGGTGATGGGCTATGGCTTAAGGTCTATTTTCTGTGAAGTTAAGGCTGAGAAAGGCGTCCCTTTCTCCCCCTAACTTTCACAAGAAATGGATGGAGCCCTCCCTCCATGACAGGCATCCTCATCAGGAGAGTGGGCAAGGGAACCTGGTTCCCCTGGAGGACTTGTCCCAACCAGCACTGGATTTTCGGGGGGCTGGCTGTACATTTGGGCTCCAAGCCCCAAATGACAGGACAGTCCAGGAGAGATGGAGGAAAACAGACTAAAGCCACTTACCAGGCAATTCGGTGTCTGGTGTTGATGTCTGGAGGGCAGAGAAATGGTTGCTCCCTAATCCAGTCGTCTGTGTGACCCAATACAGCCCAAAAGGGTGAGGGAAGGGTCGCAGGACCTAGGCAGGCACCTGTCAACCAGCAGGAGTTCAGCCATGTGTAAGCATGGCTGGGTGTCTCCCATGGGCAAGAGGCCTGCTCTGGAGTCGGTTGATCACAGTCACCGAGTGGCAAATGCCTAGTTGCTGGGAGTCAGGGCCTGTCCTGGGGTCCACTGCCAGACCTTCCCGGGTTTTCGGCACCAACTGAAAGGTTCCGGGTTGGGCCAGGGTCGCACAGAACTGACTAGAGCAGTGGTTCTCAACCTTAGCTGCACATTAGAATCACCTGGAAATCTTTTAAAAATCCTGATTTCTGGGCCTCATCCTCTGGAAATTCTGTTTCTTTGTTACTACAGTGGGGCCTTGACTTACGAGTTTAATTCGTTCTGAGACCGAGCTCGTTAAGGAGCTCGTTAAGGAGCTCGTTAACTCAAATTACTCTATCAACTCAATGCAAAAAATCGGCAGAGAGACAACTGGTATCTCAAAAAACTCATTAGTCGGGACACTCGTAAGTCAAGGCCCCACTGTAGTAACAAAGAAACAGAATTTCCAGAGGATGATAACAAAGAAACAGAATTTCCAGAGGATGAGGCCCAGAAATCAGGATTTTAAAAAGATTCCCAGGTGATTCTAATGTGCAGCCAAGGTTGAGAACCACTGGACTAAAGGCTCAGTGTAATCAAAATGATATTTATTGAAGGCACCTGGGTACAGGTGGACTGAATCTGGGAAAGGAGTCAGTGGGGAATGGGGAGGGAGCAGGCTTTTTATGTGCCTAGGGAAAGCTGTAGGCTTTGGCTGACTTTCATATCTGGACCGTGCTTCAGGCGGCTTCTGTTGAGCATGTATCTGGGCTGTGCAAGAGTTGTGGTCTTAGAAGTTCCTGTAAGATATTCACTCATGTTTTTCTCTTGATGCTTTTAAAATTCTCTCTTTGTCTTTAAACTTTGCCATTTTAATTATGATGTGTCTTGGTGTGGGCCTCTTTGGGTTCATCTTGTTTGGGACTCTACACGCTGCCGGAACTTGTAAGTCTATTTTTTTCAGCAGGTAGGGGAAATTTTCTGTCATTATTTCTTCAAATAGTTTTTCGATTTCTTGCTCTCTCTCTTCTTCTGGCAGCCCTATGATTTGAATGTTGGTTGCTTGAAGTTATCCTAGGGGCTCCTTACACTATCTTTGCAGGAGGCCGCCCATTGTCTTCACTAGCAGAGAAGTGCAAACAAGGATCCCGGAAGGCTGGTGACCCTTGTACCCACGGCAGGGCCTGAGCTATGCACCGATTGTCTAGTCCTGACAATGGGGGCTCAAGCTATTTCCTGACCAAATAGTCTCAGAGTAAATCCTCCTAATATTTACTGACCTTTATGATAGCCTGTTTGTTACTGCAATTACCTGCCTGACTAAGGGTTTTATGCTTAACCAAAGTGAATAAAAGGCTGGCGAAGCCTGGGCACCAGTGGAGGTCCTTCCCCTTGAGTTGGACTTGCCCGCCTGGCCCCCCAGTATTTCCAAATTATCTCTTGTCTCTTCTCTTTCATTTGTGTGTGGCATCTCTTCCAGATCCTAAACCCTAAACCACGCGGGATGTGGGGGAATACACATACAACATATCTTCATATTTTTGGATTTTTTTTTCTTTTTGCTCTTCTGATTGCGTGTTTTTTGCTTCCTCATATTCCAAATCGCTGATTTGATTCTTGGCATCCTCTACTCTACTGTTGATTCCCTGTAAATTATTCTTCATGTTAGTTAGTATATCCTTCATTTCTGACTGGTCCTTTCTCATGTCTTTGATGGTCTCACTAATTTTCTTGAAATTCTCACTAAGATCCTTGAAATTCTCACTAAGTCCCTTGAAGCTCTCATTAAGATCCTTGAGCATCCTCATAATCATTGTTTTGGACTCTGTATCTGTAGTTTGCTTGCTTCCATTTCATTTAGTTCTTTTTTTTGACATTTCTACTGTCCTTTCATTTGTGGCATGTTTCTTTGTCTCTGTATTTTGGATGCTTCCCTGTGTTTGTTTCTTTGTATTAGGTAGAGCTGTTATGTCTCCTGGAATTGGTAGAGTAGCCTCCTATAGGGCCCAGTGGCTCAGCCTCCCCAGTCACCTGAGATGGGCACTCTAGGTGTGCCCCTGTGTGGGCTGTGTGCATTGTTATAGTTGAGCCTTGCTTGCTATTGGCATCACTGAGAGGGATTGAACCCCAGTCCAATTAGCTGTGAGGACCAGCTGTGCCTACAGCAGAAGAGCTCATGTTCAGGAGGTACCCCTATGGAGCAGGATTTGCTTCAGTGGAGCTTTGGTGCTCACTGATTCTGCCCTTTGAGTTTGTCAGTCATGGATGTGTAGAGTTGTAATGTGGTGTGGTCTGAAGCTATCCACCAGCTGCACTGGCTCTTGGGCCCCCTGGAGGTGCAAAGTCAGCCACTGCCTGCGCCCTGGGGCCACTGAGCACAAGCTACAGAGCCATCTGTAGATGGCTGCTACTTGTATTGGGCTTGGAAGTGCCCAGGAGAGGTCAGGCTGTGAAGCAAGGCAGGCTGCTGCTAGTGCTGGGCCTGGGGCCTCTTGTTGAGTGGTATGGAGCACACTGATGCCTTCTGCTGCTTGTCTGAGATTTTAGGAAAGTCTGAAGTCTGAGCCAGGACAGGCCATTTATATGGAAAAGCCACTGCAAACAGCTTGGGTGGGGCTGCAAATTGGGTGGGGCAGAGTCTCAAGGAATCACAGGGAGGAATGAACAGTGTGGGACAGGTTGGTGGAGACTCAGATATGACCTCTGCCAGTCATCTCTAAGATCAGAGAGGTCTCAGCATAGGGACAATGACTGCTGCGAACACCCCTGTCAGGGAGAAATCCACCCCCGAGTTTTTGCTCCAATGCCAGACAATCTAGTTTCTCCCCATATGTCGCTGGATCCCCCCAAGCTTCTGCCCCAGTGCTGGAGCTCAGAGGGAGTGAATCTGAGCAAGTCCGAGTGCAGGGCCTTCAAGAGGAATTGTCTGGCTCTCCTCAGCCACTCTCCACTGGTTTTTATAGCCTGAAGTTACAGGCACTTCTCTTCTCAGCTCATGTGCCTGTCCTGGGGTCCACTGAGCTGGTTTGGGGCTGGGACCCCTCACAGGAGGCCTCCACAGCCTAGATATCTCTCCCATTTTAAAAAAATGCCACATGTGGTGTTGGACCAGCCTATTCCACACCTCTGCTCCTCCTGCCAGTCTCAGTGTGTTTTTTTCTTTACTTCTCTAGTTGCAGGACTTCCATTCAGTCGGATTTCAGGCGGTTCTGAATGATGGTTGTTCTCTATTTTAGTTGTAATTTTGATGTGGTTGTGGGAGGTGTTGAGTATTGCATTTATCTAACTGCCATCTTGGTTCTTCCTCTCATTATCATGGAAAGATTAACAACTTTGTTGCCAAAACAATGGAGTCCCCAGAGGTGCCTGCCCTTTGCAACCCCCAGCCTGGCATTGCCTGTAATTTGTAACTATTATACCCATTTTTATTCTTTTTACCTACTTCCCTATGTAATCTTGGTCCTTGTACCCAATATAAGCAGCTGGCTTGTGGGAGGGGTGGCAGAGCAGATTTTCAGAATGACCTGCCGCTCTCCCATGCTGCCAGTATTATTGGAATAAATGCTCATACAAGATTCAACCCTGTCTCATGCTTAATTGGCTCAAGTAGTGACTGGCAGCCCAAATCCATTCATTGTCCAATTTCAGGACGATGACCTATTTCTGGCTGCTGCTCCTTGTGGAGTGGGTGGGCTGACATGTGAAGCTCTAGTCCTGTGATGCTCTTAGATAGCAGGTTCAAGAACTTTGAGCCTGTCTCCCTGCCTGAGAAATGGGGAATCCACCGTAACTCTTCCTGTGGTGTCAGCTGCTCCCCTCTGCAGGCTGCCCTAGAGCCCTTTACAGTCTTAGGGTACTGACCACCCCGTGTGAGCCTGTTGTCCCCTTCAAACTTCCCCGGAAGGCAGGACCCTGTCCTCATGCACAGGGTCTGACATGCCCACAAGGCTTACTTCGGGTTTGTTTATGGCCTGGAAAGCCTTCTACTGGGTTCTGGAGGTGGGAGCTGCCCATGGGCCCTGCTGCTTCTGGAAGGCTCTTGAGCAGTAAGCAGTAGAAGCAGCCTTGGATTAGAACAAGGGTGGGCTTTACTTGGTTCCTTAGATGTCATTTCAGTTTGATCATAACCTTCAGCTGTAGCAGGAAGCTGACCAATATAGAAAAATACCAAAGCTTATGATCACCTAGGTCTGAACAGCAAAGAACACAGGCCTGGGATCCTTATCTAACAACTAGAGGCCTGGTGCACGAAATTTGTGCACTCTGGGGTGGGGGGAGGTCCCTCAGCCTGGCCTGCACCCTCTCGAAGTCCGGGAGCCCTCAGGGGATGTCCAACTGCCACAGAGGTGGGAGAGGCTCCCACCACTGCCGCTGCGCTCACCAGCGGTGAGACTGGCTTCTGGCTGAGCAGCGCTCCTGACCACCAGGGGGCAGCTCCTGCGTTGAGTGTCTGCCCCCTGGTGGTCAATGCATGTCATAGCGGCTGGTCAATTGTCTGCCCCCTGGTGGTCAGTGCTCATCATAGAGAGAGGTTGAGCTCCCTTAGCATATCATTAGCATATTATGTTTTGATTGGTTGAACGGATGACTGGACAACCAGACACATAGCATATTAGGCTTTTATTATATAGGATAGCTGCCACTTACTCAACATGTGAGTCTGCTTTGTGCTTCACATTTAATCTTAAAATAATCATATAACAAGTGGGTTTGACCTCAGATACTTCACTATCATTTTATTAAATCTGAATTCACCCACTAAATCAGAACAATTGCTTCCCCCACCTTTTTTGGGGGAGGGGTAGTGGTTCTCACTAGGAGCCTTTGGCATGTCATATAACCCTCTGAAATATATTTCTCTCACTATATACACCCGTCCCCTTCCATAACGTTATGCTCCCTGCTCCTCTGGCCTTTACTGTCATAATTATGCATTTCCCCCCCTTACACTCTTCTACTATAAAGCTGCTCAAATTACTTCTTGCATTTGTTTTATTATATGCATTAAAAAGGATCTTGAAATGGTACATTACCATGGGAATAAATAAATGAATGGCTAATTATAGCATGTGTGTGAATAAGTCAGTAATGAAAAACAGCTTTGAAAAGAGATTTAGGAGCAGCAAATTGAAGATATAGGGAAGAGCAATTCGAATCAGGTGGCATTTAGGCCTTTGAAGGTAGGTAGCTCTCCTCCCACCACCCCCTTCAATTAAGGTAATAGGCAGCAGCTCTGAAATAAATGGAGAAGCTCGGATGAACCTGAACCAACTTGACCAGGAGAAAGAAGGGGCAGATGAAGGTGGAAGGCAGAATAAGGACACAAGCAAACTATACCAGGATATATTGTGCTAAGCCTGGACAACAGATGGAGCGCTTTGTCCGAGTTCCCCAGGGCCTGTACCAGGGAACACACTATGGGAACACATTGCCTTTGGGCCAGCCTGGACTCTCTGACCACCAACAGCCTGACTGGAGTCAAAACACTGGTGCCCCCACTTTCCTGGCCAGGACGGGGCTGGTGGTGCCCACGAATGCCTGGGCCTACTGCACTGACCCTTACAAGAGGGCACAGCTTAAGGCTATTCTCTCCCAGATGAACCCCAGCCTGGGCCTGAGGCTGTGCAAGGCCAACACCAAGGAGGCAGGCGTGCAGGTGAGCCTACGTGTGGACAGGTCTGTGCAGTGCTCGCTGGGCCCTCTCACCCTGCGCAGCTGCTCTTTTTGGGGCTGCAGGGGCCCCAAGGCACCCCTACCAGCCTGGGACCTCTATTCACCAGCAATGGACCTCAGGGACTTGATCCGGCTGCGGAAGGATG